TTACTTTATATCTTACGCCTACTTCTTGTCTGACACAAATTGTCTTAATTCTAGTTCCAATTTTATCGAAAGTGACATGATTTCCAAAGACGGAAGCAAAACATGAGGAAAATATGATCATCACTTACGGTAAAAGGTAGTATTTCTCCAGACTCACACTAACAAATCTGTGAGTAAGTCAGATTTATAGTTTCATACACTACGGTACCTTAATTCCATAAGTATCATGCTGAACCTTAAAAGATTCAACAGTGAGTACTACCAGCTTCCTTCTATTTACGGATCATTAGATTTGGACCATATAAAATAAAATGCGGACTTAAATTCGTAATGTGAGCTTACCCCACCTTTGTTAAGCTACTTTGACCAAGATAACATTTATTTAGATCTGGTACTGTTTTTAATGGAATCATTGTCAACAGAGATGAAAACAAGAAATCAGCTGTACACACTTTCTAAAGGCTTCTACTTTGGAAAGACCTAAAATGCCCACCCATATACGGAGCAGGAATTAAGTATTTGAATAAAAATGTTGCATAAATTTCAACTATGCTTTTCAATCATCAAAGTTCAGAGCTTTCTCCTATTTTAAATAACCTTTTTCCTGAAGAAAAATAAAAAAACTCAGACATTTTTACTGGTGGGTGTTTTATTTTTCAGTGAATTAGTAATAATTTCTCTTTAAAAAGCCTTCTCAAACTGTCTGAAAATTTCAGGAAATTGTCCCAGAAGCCTTCGGTTCATCCTTGTGGAACTTGTTGATTTCACATGGCATACATTAAAACAATATTCGTTTCTGAGTGATCCTTTGAGTGTAATGTATCGCTATTATTCATATAACATTAGTCAAAAAGATTTCGATAATTGGTTTTAATAGTTCCATAGATTCTTATTCTCTGTTTTTAATAGTAGTAGTATTAGTGGTAATTATTTCCTCAATTACAATGAAAACCAACTGTCAAAACTTACTGACTACTTCAACACGATTCTCAGCAATAAATATTGCCTATAACTTCATACATTAAAACGTTTTGCATAAGCATATTCTAAAGAATATACTTGAATGTAAAGTGGAATTGATTTTCGCAATGTTACTTGAAATGGTCACATGTAAATTATAAGAGTAAAACTTGTGCACTGTGGTAGGATGTAATTCCTTTTTTTTGATTTATTAGATTTATCACACAGTGTAACAGTATTGTTTATTGGATTACGTTTCGGACACAAAGAGACGAGGAAATTAGGACTATATAAAGGATATTTCAAAGTTGTGTAGTTATCTTAATATGACTATGGACAATAAATTATATCTGAAACGTAATCTAGTAAACAGTACTGTTACACTGTGTGATAAATCTAATAAGTCAATAGAAAAAAAAATCACATGTGATTTAGTCAGTGTAGTGAATTCGGAGGCTTGATTTGCCTCATATTATTCCTAAACATAGAATATTCTGTACTTAGGAAGTGATTTTGGAAAAATTAATAAATGCTCACAGATAAGAGTTAAGTGTTTCGGTAAAGCCCACAACCTCTATCAGTTAGTCTTTATGATTTACTGAGTACAACAATTTTCTATTAATTTTCACTTTATTAAACATCAGTAATGTATAAATTGGTAACTGGAACCCTTCAGGTAAAGTTAAATGCTACAAAATCAAACATTGTGATTCGAATTTTGAACAGAACATTGACATGCTCAAAGAAGCATTAGCTTCCGTAGAAATTGTTTGTTTTTATAAATGATGTCTTACTGATAACAAAGTCACGAATAGAAATATTTTCTTCAAAACAGCTGTAAGAAACTGCTCACATTACACCATGCCTGAATAATAGCCTTACACTCACTATGATTTAACTGCATTGGGCCTTTGAGAAACTAGGCCTTTTCAGTAAAATTTTCTTTTTACCTATACGAATAAGTGATTTATGGCCGTTTTGAAAATGGTTACCTCGACAATTGAGTGAAACCAGATATACAGATATAATTTAAACAACCACGGCTGGGTTCATAACTGCAGTGATAATTTATTGTTTGTAATCAGTTAACGTGGAAATATAAATACCATCGATCAAGAAGTATTTATACTTGGGATTCCAATTTAGAAAGAGGCAATGAATAAGTTCAGAAATTAAATATTGAATAGTAGCCTGTTTTCATCAGGTATAACGTAGGACATGAGAAAATGTTTGGTGTTTCCTAAAAATACTCTTGGGCAGTTAACGTAAATTGACCACTTTCTTGATAATGAAGCAGTGTTTATGTAATACTGAAACTTCTGAAAGGTGATATGGGAAACCATGGAAAGTATTTCAGAAACTTAACAATTATTCAGGGTTTACTTAAGGCATAAGAAAATTAGAGATAATTTATTAAAACAAAGATTACCGGAGTGATCGGATTTTTCTTCCGTTTCTTTTTCACATCATTTCCTCCATTTCACCCTCGAAAGCCCAATGCGTCGTTTCCCATTTGGGTCCCACTCCACAAATGGTCTTCTCAGTTCACACTCAATCCAGTCCATTTCCACTTCCTTCTGCATATTTGTTAGGCGATAGGTTCTTAGTTGGTTCGCTGCCAGCTGGAGTCAGTTCCTTATTGACTATTCTTTCTGGCCATCTGATCTTCAGCAACGAGCATAGGCAGCTATTGATGAACGCGCGTCGTTTGTTGGAAATGCTTTTCGTAACTCACCAGGTCTCTGAACCATATAGAAGCACTGACTTGACTGACGTTGGTGTTGAAAATCCGGATCTTGTTATTTATGCTGAGTCGAGTGGAGTAGATCTCCACACTGATTTTAGGTTAATGAAGCCCTGTGTTACTGTCTTTCCAATCCTGGCTTTGACATCCTCACCAGTGCAGTCACATGTGGTTGAAACGATGCTGCCTAGGTAGGCAGGTGAAGGAGGCTACTTCATTTAAGTTTCTCCCATTGGTGGTGATTGGAGTTTGTTGTTGTTGGTGGTGTCAGTTGGGTATCTTCATCACATCTGTCTTCTCTACGTTCACTTGAAATCCCGTTCTCGCTGTCCTGCGTCTTCTGTCAACTTGTTAGTTTTCGACTGGTATATCTTTGAGTTTGTGCGACCTAAGATATTAGACATAAATCATCATCGGTAGCGAAATCCAAGTCTTCTCCTGGAGTCTTTCCATCGATCCAGCCAGCATATGGCCATCTTCTCGCTTCCTACGGTTTCCTGTATTATTCAGTTCGGTGTATTTGATCACAGTCAGGAAGATTGTCAGCGATAGTTGGCACCCTTGTCTCACTCCTGTCTTCATTTCAAAGGTGTCACTGAGCTTTCGATTGTGGATCACCTGGCATATGTCGTCTTCACATAGTTGTTGAATGAGGTTGATAAAGGTTTGTGGCACTAAAGCCGTAGTGTTGAAGCAGCCGTCTGCCAAATTACTTCTCGGTCGATGCTGTCGAAGGCTTTTTTTTAAACCGCTGAAGTTGAGGTGAGTTAGAGAGCTGAATGTCATTTTATTCTCTGTTCTATGATGATGCATGGCGTTATGTTGCGATTTGATCCGCACATGATTTGTTTTTTTGAAACCAGTCTGGTGTTTATTTCCCAACTCTTTGGCAATTTGAATAGTTTTTCTGCGCTATCCTATGGAAAACTTGTGTAGCATTTTTTTTCAAAGAATTTTAAGATCATCTGAGAATTCATCCACATCTCATTATCTGTGAACAACATTCATTTGCAGTAATGATGGGTAGTGGTTAGCAGTGTAATCTGGAATTTGCATTTCGTCCTATTTGGTACGACGGTATAATATAAAAGCAATTATACTAAAGTTAGTCGATCTAGTTCAATACAGATCTATTCAGTGTCTTTTTATTCGGATATACTCTGCTTTGACGCAGAAACTTAAGATAACGGTGTAATGAACTATATGGCTACGACTAGTTGCAAACATCTCTCTACAACTCATATGTACAAAGTCTTTTACCTTAGAAGACACATAACTTTTCCTGTAAAAACCATAAAGCAACTGATGAATTTAGTTGTATATTTTCTAATTTAAATGAAATTAACAGTTGTCGAATCTTTTTGAGTGGTCATAAGCGGTAAAGTAAGATGTATACAAAACTCGAAGCTCCGAAATATTGACTCGACAGAGATGTATCTCTGACCTTGAAATTAGGTGGTCTCTGTGACCCAGATGTCTACTGATAACATTCACCGTGAATGGTTTCGACACGCTTATATATATCGTTCAGGACAACTTTCCTAAAACGCTAGAATGAAATAATTATATTTGTCTTAGAAAGTAAAAATGCACATATTTTTCATGGCAATCTGAATTTTTATAACATCCTCAAAAAATGTAAATTCAAAGAAGGAAGCATGAACAATTACTTCAGTTGAATAGTCAAGAAAAGAAACTATTATTCCATGATGCTACATGTATTCAGTTAAGCGAAAATGTATCCAGAACTTCATATAGAAATAAATGTATCTTTTTCGAGTAATCGATGTGCCAAACATGTTTTCTGGTATGGTTAGTTAGAATAAAGTTGAATTCAAGTGACAAATATCATCTTTTGATTCAAAAGCTCTCTGTAGTTAAAAAAACTCATATATGTTGTTGCATTTTGATTAGCATAACCGTATATTAAGCGAATCAAATTGATTATGATACCGAGTGAAAAACGTTTTCAACTTATATATTAGGATGTATTATCAACGCAACTAATAAATGTTTCGGTATTTTCTGAGTGTTTTGTTGAGTAAATAAATCAAAACCATGAGTTTTAGGAACATATCGTCGGGCATTTTAAAGATTACTCATGCATGGTGAAATTTCAGCTAACCTGTGATTAGGAAAGGGAGAGAGAGGTTACGTAACGTTTACATGAGTTTCCCATACGTAGAAAATACATGACACGATCTACCCAGCTTAATTTAGAGACAATGTATACATAGGCAAGCCGCATTTCTATTTTCAATAGTGTTTCTTTTTCACCGCTTTTCAGATTGAAAGAATGCACTCCGAATGGTTCCTCATACATTGGATTGTATCAACATTTATATGGATAGCTTTTATTCCAAACTATGTAGCGCTTATACTGATTTATAATGACCAGTTTGTAAATACTTATTCACTAATGATCCCAGCTCTTATCCAGAATGGTGGCATTTTTATCAGCGGTATGAAAAGTCAAGATGATGAAAGAAATAATGGTAGACTAACAACTCAGTGTCATTTACAATACGCTACTACAGAAAATAAAGCAAACGGATCAAGAATAGGTAAAATTGATGATGATATTCTAGAAACGTCGGATATAAAAGATGATCAACTTCTTAACCTGCTGCGATCAAACAACAAATCCACATTGCACTACCGACTCCGTGAACCATCAAATTACTTCGCTCTAAATGAAGCAACAAGTGAACTGACTACACAAATCATGCTTGATTTGGAAACTCTGTGTCCTAGACACTGTAGAGAGAACAGCTTCCATGCTGTATTGAATGCACATGTGGAAATATTGGCCAACTTCCAAGTGGTATATTTTGTAAATGTCGAAATTACAGTAACCGACATGAATGATAATTCACCTACATTCCCACCCAGTGTACCTAGACCTTATAGAATGAAATTAAAAGAGGTAATCTATCGTGCTGGTAAACAAGTGGAACTACCAAGTGCAGTTGATAAAGATGTTCAGCCAAGTAATGCTGAAATAGTTTATCGTCTCGATTCACATCCCGAAGATAAATCTGACGCTTTGGAAACATTTCAACTGATGTTGCAAAATAATACAAGGATTGTATTGGTTTTACAAAATGATTTGGATTATGAATCAGTAAAGGAATATCGTTTTTATTTAGTCTGTTCATCCCCATATATCAGTAATGAACATGATTCAGACTCTTCAAATAAAGAAGATTGGTTAGAAATTATCATAGAAGTACTTAATATCAATGACATCGAACCAACGTTTTCAAAGGCAGTCTACGAAGTAAACGTTCAAGAGAATGTTTTAGTCAATTCAGTTATTTATGAAGTAAGTGATACTGTTATTTTGTTGTTAAAGTAGAAAGTATACTATTACCGTAACATTATTTATTTAGGCTGTTTGAGTTTTCACTTCCAATTCAATGAGAATGCGCTGAGAAACAAACATTAATGAACGTTCTGCTATCTTCGCCTACTATACAGAATATATTGGTCAGGAAATGACTGGAAAACATCTTTTTGGACGTTCAATCTCTCAAGTTTTAGGACAGTATATTCTTTGATACTAGATCAATAAAGCAAACAAACCACTAGCTTCAATAATAATAAATAACCTATGTTGATTTAAACACTGGAATAATCTCCATGATCAAGCTTTATGAAAAATATTATTCAAAGAGGAAAAGTTGGAGTGCTTAGAGTGTGATTGAAGTTCAGGGAGAAGTGGCGTTAAGAAAAGGTTATCGAACCTCACAATGGGTGGTTGATACCAACATGCTAGAAAAAATTACAGACTCAGGTTGTTACCGATGGTTCACTGTAAATCTAAGGATATATTCTATTTTGTGAGTGGGAAAATACCAGCAGTAATAATATTTTTTCAAGGCATAGAGTTAAATAGCTTGCAAACCGCGGTGAAGGTGACCTTCTTTTGGTGATCAGATGACAGCGTTTCATAGCCTCTGTACCATTTTTAGGCAACCTCAAAGAAGTATGTCTTCCACTACCTATCTTTCGTAATGTTCTTTTATTCAGTTTATAAAACTGAAGTAAGAGGCATCCATTAGCATACTGGCATCTTTGTATGTTTGCCCTGATGTTGTCATGAGTTTTACCCTGATGAATATCATTCCAGCTTCCTTTAGGACCACTCCACATGTGTCTGGTTGTATGCACTTTGAAGAAGTGTTTTTGTAGGGATACATGAAATTCACTTACCACCATAATAAGAAGTTAAAAAGTCTGCTTTAGTTCGAAAGTGTGGTATGTGGTGAATCTCAAGCCTGTTGTCTTAATTTGAGGAGAAGTTTTTGATGCATCCCAAAAACCTTGAGATACCTTCAAATTTCAAAGTGTGTGCATAGAATCTTGCTTCTTTTAGCGAAATTATTCGGTGTCGTGTGAGTGCCACTGCCTTCTCTAAAATCTACAAATGTTATTGTGTATTTAGCTGCAGTTCAAATTTTTCAAACAAAGCATAGTTCATGTAATATCACTAAAATAGAGTCATACATAATATATCTAACCAAGTAAATCTTAAGATGAGATGAAAATCTGGATCGCAGCCGGATTCGAACCAAAGACCACCGAATTACCGTTTCGGTACTCTACCAAATGAGCTACGAGGTCCAACTGTGGTCCAGATTTTCATCTCACCTTCAGTCATCACCCATTATAAATACTAGTTTCCCAAACTATCTCAAATAGTCAAATGATAAGTCTTAATAATCTCCGCGAAGAAAGTTCCTTCCTACCTATTAACTTCCTTAAGCTGATATGCATGGACATATGCTACTTTCTAGTTTGCAATTCAGCCGTGGTTGGTGTTGATTTTATGAGAAAATGACTCGAGGACAATAACGTTTCCTGACGAGATACTTTCATTCGACAACTAGGCTGAAATACAACAATCCATACCTTCCTAATTCTATTTCGTAGCATGCTATCCATGCAACGTAATCGCCCTTGAGGCACTTTCTGAAAACGTTGTCACTGACCACTTCTGATGGATTGCAAATTAGGAAGAAATTGCTGTTCAGAATACTGAAATTTTGAGTGTTTATTTAACTGGACACAAACATATAATGAATAAGACTTGAAAAACAAACGATACCTTCAAAACTTCAGTTTTATTCACAGTCAAACTTTCAGTTATGACAGTTTCATGTACTGCGGAACACCAGAAAGAACCTAAGGATCATTATTATCCATGTTTTACGTTAATTTAGCTGTCAAAACATAAAGGAATACTCTGACGTAGTCTAAAGTACGAAAATTCCAATACCACTCTTTTGCATCATAGGTCAGTAATAAAAGAAATGCAAGCCTTTAAGATGGTTGCAATACGAGAATAGCACGAAGAAATTACATAGAGACTTTTGACAAGTGAAGTTTCTAGAAACTGACACACTTTTTCAAGTTGCTACGGAGTCATTATTGGTGATTTTGATTAATAAAATAGTACCTATTATTTTCCTAAAAGGTAGTATATCCGTTCATTTAACTTTGTGCAATTCATAAACTCCATATAGATCAACCAAAAAGGAGATGATTACCTGTGGTAGATCGTAATGCATAATATATCAAAGCTCCAGCAGATTATGAGTGAAATCATCTACATTATTCAGTACATTTTCCAGTTTCGTCACTTTTATGCAAACCAAGAAGGGTCCAAACATATTTACCTAGTGGAGATTAAAAGGCAGCTGACATCATGGAATCTGACATTATTTTAGAAATCACTGTAAACAGGGCATGAGATATTTTTTTCTGTCCCATTTACAGGCTTTTGTGTGTTTCACTGACATGAACGATTAGGATAGCTTACCGAAACTAGAAACAGTACGTGACTAAAACTTTTTACTCCAAACGGAGACTAGATTCGGATTATTTACACTTTTCTGCGTCTATACATTTGTGAATGCCTAACTGCTAGATGATATCAATAATGGACATTCTAGGAAAAATGTAACCCAATGACAATCAGCTATCTGCAGATCATAAAATCGGCATTACTCTCTTGACGCACACTTTAGGATGAACTTTCAGAAATTTAGCTACCAAATGGTTTTTTAAGTGGTCAGTTTATTATTTGTCTCTTGTGTTCCTAGTGGAACATGGGGCTTCAATATAACGTCTCCATTGCACTCTGTTCTCTGCAGTCTTTTCAACCTGGCTCCACAACAGCCCACAAGCTCTCATTTCCTCCTAGCATGATCTCCTGCATGTCATCCTCACCTCAGAAGCCCAACTCGTCGTTTCCCGTCTGGGTTCCACTCGAGGGCCTAGCCTGGCGCGTGATATCCCCAGTCGGCCTTCTCAGTGTATGCCCAATACAATCCATCTCCACTTCCTCCTCCATATTTGTTGAGTGATAGGTTCTTGGTTGGTTCGTTGCCCGGTCAGAGTTCTTTGTTGCTAATTCTTTCTGGCCATCTGATCTTCAGTAATGAGCCAGCGCAGGCAGTTAGTTGTTGATGAATATCTGTAGTTTGTTGGGAATGCTTTTGATAACGTGCCAAGTTTCTGAACCATACAGAAGCACTGATCTGACGTTGGTGTTGAAAATCCGGATGTTGTTCACGCTTTATGCTGAGTGCAGATCTCCACACTGGTTTCAAGCTAATGAAGGCCTGTATTGCTTTTCAAATCCTGGCTGGCTTTGAGGGCCTCGTCTGTGTCGCCCGTAGTTGAAACAGTGCTGTCTAGATAAGTGAGAAAGGCTACTTCCTTTAAGTTTCTCCCACTGATGGTGATTAGAGTTTGTTGTTGTTGGTTGGCTATCTTCATCACCTCTGTCTTCTCTACGTTCACTTGGAGTCCCGTCTTCGCTGCCCTGCCTCTTCTGTCAACTTGTTAGTTTTCGCCTGTAAGTCTTCAAGTTTGTGTGACATTAGACATAAGTCATCGGCGAAATCCAAATCTTCTAGATTCTTCTCCGCCGTCCAGCTGGCGTATCCTCCTCTTCTCACAGCTCCTCACGGTTTCTTCCATGATCCAGTCAACCACAATCAGGAATATCATGGGTGATAGTAGACAGCCTTGTCTTACTCCTGTCCCCTGTCTTCACTTCAAAGGCATCACTGAGTTTTCCATTAAGGATTACTTGGCATGTGGCGTCTTCATATAGTTGTTGAATGAGATTGATAAAGGTTTGCGTTATTCCGTACTGTTGAAGCAACCACCAAACTACTTGTCGGTCGACGCTATCGAGGGCCTTTTCAAAGTCGATGGAGTTGAGGTAGACAATTGACTGGCATTCTATTTTGTGTTCTGTGATGATGCGAAGCTTTGCAATCTGATCGACCCGTGATTTGTGCTTCCTGAATCTAGCCTGTTCTTGTTGTGTTTTCGAATCTGGCGCCTGCTTTATTCTGTACAGGATGATGCAGCCTAATATTTTGCTTTGGGTGAACAGCAGCGTGATTCCGTGCCAGTTCTTCACTAATTACTGTGATATTTTTCAGAGCTGAGTAGCATTCTCGTTCCTTGACTTTAATATACCCGAGAGTTTTCTATTGACATCTGGTCTTATACACATTCGAGAATGAGGTCACTTTTGGCTGAATATGAAAAACTGTGTTTATCGCAAGTTTCATGGCAGTTTGCGTTTGTATCATGAAAAGAATTTATTCTGCGCTAACCGTCATTTGAATTAGTGCATAGAAGATTCTTCAAATGACATGATATAAATTAGGTAACAATGACATGCAGGGTGTTTTCGTCTTCGCAGAGCGATGGGTTATACGGGGTTTTAATGACTAATAATGATCAAATACTGTTATATTGCTGACATCCACTTTTGTATTAAGCTGTCCACTCCAATTCTATTGGCAGCAGATAAGGAGTATTTTAAGTAAGCTTCAATCATGGACTAACATCAGTCGGAGTAATATCAGAAACCTGGGAGCACTGGACAGCTGTTTCGTCCTAGTATGGAGCTCTCCGGAAGTGCGCACTCACAATGTCGCTGGGATCAAACCCAGGACCTTCAGGTTGCGTAGCCGGCAAGTTGTTATTGAGCCACTGGGTCAGAATCCAATGGTCCATATTCCCAACTTTTCTCGGTTCGCTACATAGCACAACTATCACCAAATGTCATTGTAGCATTCAACTGAAACAAACCATACAATAACTTTAGTTGTAGATTGCAGCCAACAGTGGAATTCACGACATGCATTTCCTCCTCTTTAGGACTCGTCTGACGGGTGTATGTGCTTACCAGTGACCGATTAAATTTCAACTGGGAAGTGACCGATTTCATTCTGACCGTATTCTTTTGTTCGTTTGTACAGTGATGACACCCAGTTAAGAAACTCGTTTGCCGTGCAAACTTGAATGAAATTAAGTGATTGAAGTCATTTTCAGTATACCCGGAGCCCAGGTTTCATGCTTGTTGGAAATTTTTGACAAGGTGTATTTGCGTCCTCGAGAAAAATCGTATTACTTTAAAGATCTAAAACCACCTCACTAAGTGCTGCAGTAAAAGACGTTACTCTTTAATTGTTCAGACTGTAATTGTCCTCCTGTAGAATCAGTGAATGTAAATTGAGTGAGCTCTGAGGGGTAATAAATATCATTTATCAGGGACCTACAGGAGGTTACTTGGTTTTTAAATGGCTCTGTAGTGACGCCGCTGAATGCAACACTGAGTGACATGGGTTTAGATCTTTATGGTGATATAATTTCCTTTGAAGTTTCAGATATGCCTTGTTGACTAGTGTCAACAAGAACAAAACCTAGGTTGAGAGCTCTCTGTTGACTGCTAATAAACACCTAGCACCAAAAATAATCGGTGTTGAAATCCTTGAAAGCTTTGTTCTAAAATGAGTAAGATCGTCGGTGATAGCTACAAATTTTGTACAACTATGTGCTATATCAAGCAAAGAATCTAATATGGAATTATACGATGCCCCAGTGCTCAGTTTATACTTCTACATATATGAATGAAGTCTAGCTTACTCTGTTGTTAAAGGTATCATTTCAGAAAAATACTGACAAATATTCTTACTACGTTTACACATTTCAAAAACTAGTTGTTTTAAAATAAAATTCCATTCTTATTTTTTTTAATTTGTAGCTGAAGGCAACTGATAAAGATGTTGATTCCATTATCGCTTATTCAATGGAAAATGGACTTGATTCAAGTGTCACATCAAAATTCATCATTGAATCAACAGGAAAAGTGATTGTTAAAGGCAGGCTAGATCACGAGCAGCGTAATGTGTATGACTTTACTGTGCGTGCAAGTGATGGGGAATTTTATGCTTTGGCACGACTCGTTATTAAAGTTACAGACGTAAATGATGAACTTCCAGATAAAATATTAGATCCATATCATTTGACAATTGCAGAAAATAAACCAGCAAGAACATTAATTGGTCATGTGAGCCTGTATATCAAGTTTTTGTCACAGATTATTTTTGTCAGTAAACTGATAAATGCAACGTTTTGGAAAAGAAAGTTATAAAACCTGTAATAATTTTTTATGTATAATACTAGACTAGAATGGTGAAAAAAACCTAACCGCTTGTCAAGGGAGTAAACAAAAAATTTATGTTTAGTCTAAAGTAGTATGATTACACTGCTTTTCATTTAGAAGTGAAACACTTAAAACTTACTGGCTTCTGGAATTTGTCACATTTCATGACCTGCATGAAATAATTTGTCATGTTGAGCCATGTTGTGAGTTAATTTCCATCTGTTTCAATGATCTTTACTCAAACTTACATTGGTGGGGTTAAAATCAGTTGAAGAATGCTGTTATTTGGGCTCTTGGTCAAGCACTTCTACAGAAATACATTTAAATGATTCTCAAGATAACACTAGTATTTGTCAGAAAAACCCATAATCTTTCTTTCTTTTTCGAAGAAGCTAGTTTTGTAGCCAAAATGAAGTTACTTAGTTGATCAGTTCAGTGGTTGCTTGCATAACCTTTACATTTTCTCAAAAAGTTCATTTCTGCATTTTCAGTAGACCTGGTGATAAGAGCAAATGTGTTTGGTCTAAAATTCTAGACAGTTACACTAACCAGGCATCATCATATTAACACAGTGTGCTAAAACATATTACTAATCGCAGAAGGTTTCGAAAAGTTTTAGGATCACTGTGAAGTTGCCAAAAAGACTAAGATAGTCATTGGCACGTTGTTAACCTTACTGATCCGTGAATTATTGCAGTACCGCCTTTTAGTGACAAATAGTTTAGTTAACAAAAGAAAATTTGCACCGCAGGTTCACAAGTTGAATTCTTTAGCCCATTATCTCTTATTTACCCACAAAAACTAACTGCAAAGTCAGTATTGTTAGCAGCAGATTGTTAGGATGTTATCATTAGTATCAACACTACTTTTGAAAGTAAACGAAAGACTAAAAAATGACCACGAGAACTGTTTTTCTCTTTTTTGTCTTTCGTGTGCATTTGTTTGAAGTAAATAACTTTAAGTCAAAATTAGTCTTTAATGCAAAAAAAACCAACATGTTGAAACTATGAAGTCACATTGAGAAAATTTTGGTAGTAAATACAAGCCGGTCCAGGAGGCTTAGACAGAGCATTCTCTAAGGTGCATGTGAAGTGTGTCGGGCATTTTAACCAAACAAAAATCTTCATTTGCTTTGACAGACAGTTTGTTCTCAGAGTAATACTTAAGATAACCGTGCTCTGAGTGATACGAATTCACTACACTGCTAACAGCCAATTCAACTCTTATGAATAGGTGTGATCTCAGTGTCTAGAAATTTCAGGAAGTAGCAGATGCATTCACTCATGCAAAACTAAGGATAGTAAATATTGCGCTGCTACTCTTAGATATTTGGATTTGTTTATACTCTCCAGAAACTTCCTCATACGTGAAATTCGATTCAAAATAAACTCTATCTTTACTGTATATTGTTCTACGAGTGACTTTTCAAGGGCCACAAGGGTTACATAAAGTTCACTTATATTTAGCTCGCCTTTTTTTAATCATTAATTTGTGTCACATTTTTGGATTTCAGCTTCTGATTATCGATCGTGATAGTCCTGAGGTTAATGGTCAGGTAAGGTGTGAAGAACCATCTGGGTTGAAAAGTAAGCAACCTATACTATTTGTACAGGAATCAATACATCTTCATGAAATTTTACCTTCATCATTGTTTCCATCAGATTTTGCTCACAGTGACCAACCAAAATATTCTTCGATACAGTTCAGATCTGACACTAATGTCTATCAACGATTCACGCTATACAGTCAGACTGAATATGATCGTGAAAATGGAGCAGATGAATATCAAAGCATTTTACTCTGCTGGACGGTATTCTTAATTATTCACCATCTGAAACTCTTTCAGCATCATTTTTCTCTTCAGAGAAATCTTCTACATTAAAACTTTCTGAAATGCCTGTTGCAATGTCATCTGGACTTACAGCTACAATGACTATCATTTTGAATGTGATAGATGAGAATGATAACGCACCTACTTTCGAAGAGACACTATATAAGGCAGAAATCAGAGAAAATTCCCCGGTGGATACCAAGGTCATAAAGGTAATTTTGTTAAGTTAAAGTAGTTTTTTCTGATAAATTTTCAAAAACGCTCACAGTTTCACTATGCACTTGATTGCTGCTTTACGAAATGAGTTCGGCTATCACACTGACAGATAATCAAACTGGTAATTAGTGTTCACTTCCCTTCTTTGTCACATGCTCTTTTTCTTACAGTCCTAGTGTTTTGTATTGCTGGTCACAAATAATCTGGTAATCTAATCTACATTACATTCAAACTGTTACAGTGTTTGACGATTAAAATTAGGGTTTTTTAAATCTCATTTTGTGATATTTTTGAAAACCCACAAATTTAAAATAGTTGTAAGTGCTAATGAGGCTTGACAAGCTACCACTGCCAACGACTTATTGAAGCCTTTTGAAATGAAGTCAAGCATATTTTCTTGGTGCGGTTGAATTGTGTTGGTTCTTCGACTATGAATTGCCACCTGAATCTTTTTAGTTTTTAATTCTCAGTTTACGCCACTGGATATCAGTTTTTGACATAGCGTTTCTTATGGAAGAAAAATAAATACTTTGTCATTCGACGACAAAAGCATCTACATATTCCACACATTACGTTCTGAGTAATAACGCATTCTACAACTTATTGTCTACTGATGCCTGGTTAAAAAGGATTATGTATTCACCAAACTGTATCTGCATTACTTTACACACTTAAGTACATAGAAAGATTACTTATTTTCTCCTTACTTAAAGGACTACGCTGACAAAATCACTCCTTCAGCCAACCTTAACAACAATATTGGCTTCGAATCATTTTGGTTTATTAATTGAACACTCATAATTTCTAAACACTTCCAAAACGAAAGTGGTTTCCAGCGGTCATCAGAATTAAAAAACTGTACTGTCCTTAAACGAATAGTTGGGTAAACTTAGTCTGTCTGATCTACTTCCGTGTAAGTCATGCGGATTGATAATTTACCTATAGATTAAGCGAAATTCAAAGGGATCGAGCTTCAAATAGTAGTTTTCACTCAGTTTCAAATCTGAAGGCGTTTGATGCTTTTTATGTCTCCTGAAGTCAGTGAAATCTGGATTTCGAATGAAAACAGAATATTATAGGTATTTCAGTCATCTACTTGGTATAAAAAGAGAATATTTTGTTCATTCACGGAGTATTTCATTATATCTTGATGTCTGCATATTACCTACTAACATCATTGCTATCATGCTGTCTAAGTTTTATGGTGTATTTGACTTTTGGTCGGTTTCAGCTGTCAACTTTTCTGAATAACTAATAAAGCCTGATCGATGTAGTAACTATAGTTTAACTTGATTGTGAAGACAAAAAAGTAATTTTATAGAAGCTGATTATGTAGGAGAATGAACACCAATTGTGCATAAAATTTCCAAAGGATGCACCGCATTCAGAAATATCAGTATGAGGAATGTATTGGCCGCTGGATGAAAAAAACCTTCTGAGATAGTATGTTCTAACCAACTAGCGTTGTGATTTGAACCCTTTTTATGTGTTTTTGCATTAGTTTTTAGCGACTTCGTTTTATGCCAGCTACATTATTTTAGGAGGCACATTTCTTTGTAGAAGACAAAAGTCATTTGATTATAATGGTTAGACGATTTTTATTATTCATGAGACGATTCCTATTACATCTCTGGATATATTCCGTAGGCTCTAGGGATCAGCCGATACATATGTGTATTTGAGAGATATTAAAAATAAATGAATCTGATGCATTTTGTTCATTAATATAATCCATTCATTTGGATATAGGGTCAGATCATTGGGAATCAGACTTTAGGACCTCATCTATAAGTTGTCACTATATAAAATAATTTATTTGGCTTTTATGAATATATTTCTGGTTACCAGTGGCATTTCATGATGGCTTGAGAAACAAACAGATTCATAAAACTGTGATTGTGCATCTCATGAGATGTCGCTACACCGTCAAACTAAAAATTTTTGTATGCACTCATTGAAAGTGCTTTGTGCTAGCTAAGAGATTCAAACTTTAGTGTATATTTTGATGAAACAGAAAATGCATTAATGTATTATAGATAGATATTTAGTGAAAAGTTTGCACACAACGATAATTTTTTTATTTTAGTGAGATTTCAAGCAAAATTACTGCCCGTGATCACAACATGACAAAACATTTATCATAGTTGTAGCACGACATGATATCACCAAATAATGGCTGGTTAAAGTAGATGTAGATGAGATTTCTGTGGTTGATTCAACAAGATGCGTATGAGTGAACGAAGAATATTATATTCGATAACTTCTTCAGGTTCTACAGTTATATGTATATATTGAAGAAATACTCGTCAGCAGTATAGAGATTCCGGCTATCAGTTTTTTAAAAATATTATACAGTTAAGGAAATCAATTCAGAAAGTCGTATGCGAACATTTATGATAGAAGCAATTATCACTGGGATTCAATTCAAAATAATTAATCTTGGTTGCATTGTGTTCTCTTAGCTGGGTTGTTTAATCGTGAAGCTTTCATCGTCCTTCTAAACGACATCATCAGCACTAACTTCAGTATGAAGTGAGCTGTCAATATCTCTCCGTGAGTGATTTAGTAGCTTGCTCTGACGATGTGGTCTGCGATTGATTGTTTCCTGCGATTGTTGTGCCACTGAATGTATAGATTTTCCTGTTGGCTGTTCCTCTGCTTCACCTCTGACCTTTGTGTCATGTATCATCTTTCTGATTGGTTGATAGGTCGGGTCTATGTCTATACATCTATTGATTGCTGACTGACTGACCTGAATGCCGAGCTTCAAGGAATTCTCTGACATTCTTTGTGTTTTCTCTGTCCAAAATTTCTACATTGTCGAAATTGAATTCATGTCCATAATTATCCACATGCATTGAAATGAGTGACGAAATGTCGTGACGTTTTATTGCCAATTGTTGTTCATGTAAATGACGAAGGCGAAGAGGGCGACCACTTTGTCCAATGTAGTGTTGACTACAGTTATTGCAGTTGATTTTGTAAATGATATTCGGTTTGTCTTTTTTGCTCGTTGCATCCTTTGGTCTGCATAATAGCGTTTGCAGGGAATTTATTGGTTTATGAGCCACACCGATTCCGTGTGGTTTCAGATGATTATGCGGCTTGTGTAGTAATATGACAAGAATATATATATATACATATATAATAACCGGAAGGTACTTATGACAGTTGGATGAAATAAACTGAGAAGTACAAAATAAGTTAAAAGAATTTGTTAAAATTATTTTAGATTATAGGGAAGAAGGGGTATCTACAGCACGAAATTAGATCATCCAGGATGAGATGCTGGCAAATTTGTGCGTCCCATATCAGGCCACAGTAGTTGTAGAGGCGAAACTTACTGTTTTCAAACACAACTCGTGTTGTTTCAGTCTTGTGTCCTACTGCTTCTGTAGTTTGAAAGATCCTGGTCAAAATACCTTTTGGCGAGTTAATGAGAGGGCGGTACACGATGGAAAATGACTCATTCATATCCGCTCAATGATTCGTTTCAACAAGATGTACTAATATGGAGCTGGTAATAGTTTTTACTGCACCCTAACTTATGCACGCTAGTAGGTGTTCAAGAGAACAGAAAATTATACTTTTAGAGCCGCAGCTGACGCAACTGGCTCCACAAAAGCAGTCGAACTAATAAACACAACAGAAAGTGGCCAGTCTAGATAATTCATCGTCCAGTTTTGGTGTCAGCACTAGGCATGGGGAAAGCAAAATTTGCAATCTACCAACAGTGATAGTTCTTTGAAATGATCTGCGTAGTTTGTGAACTAATATTTCACTGAGCACGAAACTGTCTATCCTGACAATTTCATAAAAAACATATGATTACAAAAATAGCAACAAAGGATATTCTAACGGCTAGCGGAAAACCGCCATACATTGGGGTACAATCTAGCGGTGACGTGCTTAGAGAGACACAGTTCACAAACTGCGTAGATCAATGCAGAGAACTTTCAATGCTAGTAGATTACAAATTTCGTTTTTACCACCCTCGATGCTGACACAAGTCATATAATCATTTAGAAAATCAATTATTTTTAATTAAATCTTAGTGGTAATTGCTTCTATCATAAATGTCCACACATGACTTTTCTGAATTGATATTTTTAATTGTATGGTATTATTAACAAACTGATAAACGGAATCTCTATATTTCTGACGTGTAATCCCTCAATCTTAGCTGTAAATGCTGCATTGTAAGGTCACAGGGTAAAATTTGATCATGTTTAAGTCATTCAGGAAATTTCTGTATTATAAAAAATCTTACAGCTGAATCCTTTACATAAAACTGAACAAAAATGCTGAAAACACAAATAAGAGGATAGAATCTCATTCTACTTAAACATTATTTTCTTAAATGTATCAGCACTAAATATCAAAACGTTAGAAAACAATACCCTCATTTTGTTAAAATTCACTTGGAAGTAGAAATACCAATGTATTATACATCATTCATACAATGCTGAAACTTTTCAAGTCATGAAGCCCAAACCGACTGGATGCCTGTATACTACTAATTCTTCTATTTCAACAGAAGATTTTAGTAATTTATACACAAAATGATGTTTAGGAGAAAAGAAAAGAAAAATCACATCAAGAAGTCAGAACAGTGTTTATTCACACTTGATTTTCACAACGGAAAATGTCCCACTTAAACATGAAACGGAATTTATAGAATCTGTGCAAACTAATGTATTTTGTGTAAATTCTCAATGAAAATTCTAAACTTAGTGATGTTTTTTTTATTTTGGCAATATCTCGAGGAAAATTACTGCCGATTTTCATAACAACAGTTAGAATAACTAACATTAAGTAAAGACTATGTATACGGCACTTAATGCTGAATGTGCGAATAAATATTACTAAAAAATGTCAACTACTGGTGTAATCGCAGGCAGTAGTTTTCCTCGAAATATTACCAAAATAAAAACTTATCTTTGCGTGTGAAAGTTTCATGGAAAATTTTGTTTTAATGCATCAATCCAATCCACAG